GACCGTGTGCTGCGAGCGCCCAGCGCCAGCAAGGAGGGGGCCGGCCTGGCGCGCGCGCGCCGGCCCACGTGGATCGGGACCGCGCCAGGCGCGCGCCCCGCCCGCCCGCTGCCTGGGCTGGGGGTTACGGAAGGTAACAGCGCCGCTGTCGCGCGTGGCCTGTCCCCGCCCACGCCGCTGGGTTCCTGAGCCCGACACCCGCATCCCCGTTTCCAGGCGCGCCCGAGCGGACCTCCGCACTTTGCGGCGATGCAAGCGGAAGCGCGAGCGTGCCACGGGCGATCGGGTGCAGCTCCCGCGCCCGCCCGCGCCCTGAGGATTTGGGGAGTCAGTGGGGGAGGGGATGGGGGGGTGCAGGGGAGGCGCGCGCCGGGGCTGGTCCCGCGGGCGCTCGCGTCTGCTGCGGCTCCGCGCTCGTCCGGGACAGAACAGGTTCCTTCCAGTTTGGGTGTGAGCAGCGAGCGTGTGGGAGCCCGAGTTCCTCCTCCTGAGACCACTTCCCCCCTATTTCGTCAACTCGCGAACCCCGCCAGTTCCCCTTCCGGGCGTGGGGAGAGAGTGCCGCATGGGCCCCAGGGAGTACGAGGCCCTCCTGCTATGGGTGCATAGCCTTTCCCCGGCTCCAGCCACGAGCATCGCGTAGTGCGGAAGGGATGGACCAGCCTGGCTGAGTCAGCATCCTTTCCCCGCGGTTCGCGTGCATCCGCACAGGGCGACATCCGTACAGGTGCATGCCAGGTTCACACCCGGGAGGCCTCTAGAGAGGATCGGGAGGTTTAGGGGGCAGGCGCCCCTCATCTGGAAGTCGCTGACCCCAAGGTCAGTATGAGCTAAGCGGTTGCTGCCGGGGAAGCCGAGTGAGTTCCTCTTGGGGGACAAAGCGTGTGTCTAGGCTGTTCAGAGCCTAGGGGGCGCAAAGTTGGTTCTTTTGGACTCCACTCAGTACCCCTGGGCAAATTTAGGAAGCGTTCTGCAGGAAAGGCTTTATTCACCGCATTTCCCTGAGGACTTAGGCCATCGCTGTTCCTTGGTTGTGTAGTTCAGGTTGTCTTTCTGGTGGTTAGTGAACTGTATTAGCAACTTAACCTAAGTTACTCCATCTTGCTCAGAATAGCTATTTTAACAGTAACCTATTTTCACTTATGAGAAATATTTAAAAAGAGACAACAGCCTTGAGTTCTAAGAAATAGCTCAATCACAAACCAGTGGACCGTCCTAATCTCAGACATTCTACATCTGGCTGCTTGCTTTCACTTCTGTAACTTGCTTGCTATCACCTTGAGAGAAAGTAAAATAACCCTGTTATTGTATGACCACCCCGTAACTGCTGATTTCAGCTTTCTTACTGTGCTTGTTATGGCTAGGAAGTTGACTAATTTTAAAATTACAAAGCTGATTGCCAAGTTATATGACTGTATCACCTGTCTGTATAATGATTGGTTGTTGGTTAATAGATTCAAAGTTCTGCTATGTTGTACAAACCTGATTGGATCACAAGTGTCTTGTTTGAATAATAGTTCTGTAATCCTATAAAAGCTCTGACCCAACAATGATCAGGGCTGTGTCTACTCCCAAGATAGCCCAGCCTGTTGAAATAATAAACATTTACCTTGCTACTTTTCTTAAGTGGTGCTGATGATTTTTTTTTGTGAACTTTGACATACTATAGAAACTCTAGAGAATCTACTTTGGAAGTGTGCCTGGAGGGTCACCACAGGGAGGAGCCGCCCATCTAAATTTTAATAAAAAGCCTTCCTTGTTCCATGATTTCCTCCACGATTTGGGGATGCAGTCTGCAGGGTTAAACATCATCCACTGCTATTAACCAGCTCTGCTGTGGGTTAAGTGAAGAGCAGATGCCTTGGTCTGCAGTGCCTTATGGTAGGCTAGTGCGCTCCAGACAGGCTGTCATGCCGCTAAGTAGCTGGCAAGCTAGTAGGAGTAAGTGGACTTTTATTATTTTTTTCCAAACAGGTAGCCCAGGCTGGCTTCAGACTTGCTGTGTAGCCAAGGATGACTTTAAATTCCTGATCCTCTGTTGCCACCTCCCAAGTGCTGGGATTACAGGCATGTGCCAACATAATTGAACTTTGTAGAGCATTAATTTCCAAGCTTGTGAAATGGTATTAGGGTGGTGTTCCCAGAGTCCCAGGGTTTAATGTATGAGTTTTGGGAAGTTGACTCAATGACTGGCAAACCTAAGTCCTCAGCAACTGTTAGTTCCTATTTTTGTCAATAGGGATTAAGGCCAATTGCTGACCCCAACACATGCCCTTTGAGAAATCTTTTCTAAGGTTGTCAGCAAACTCATATGTGATATATTTTGGTGTTTTTAATGACTAAAATGAAAACTGTGCTAAACCTTTGATATCTAGGGGTTTACATGCTCCTTAGGCAGACCTGACCTCTCCTGTATTCAAAACAAGGATTTAGCCAGGCATGGTGGCACCCGCCTTTAATCCCAGCACTGGAGAGGCAGGCGGATCCCTGTGAGTTCAAGGCCAACCTGGTCTACCTAATGAATTTGAGGCCAGCTGGGGCTACTGGGAGACCCTGTCTCAAAGAGCAAAAAAACAAAAAATAATAAAAGCAAAGTCACATGTAGCTCTGACTGGCCTCAAACGTGTGTAGAATGACCTTGGATCTCTGATCTTTATGTAACCCAGTACAGAGACCCATCTAGAACTTTCCATCCTCTTGTCTCGGTCTCCAAAGGGAGAGGAATACTGGCTTTCACCACCGTGTCCTGCTGCATTCTAGTTGGTAACTCCTAGGCTCATGCTATCTTCCAGCCTCAGTAGCTACAACTACAGACACAATACACTCTACCTAGCTGGAAATGTCCTATTTAATACGACACAACGTATACTGTACTTACTTGGGAACCTAGGGATGTAGCTCATCATTTGTAATTGAGTGACTCTAAGCAAGACACATACCCTCTCAGTTCTGGAGATCAAACCCGGTCTGGTAAATACTCTACCACTGACCCTAAGATACATCCTTTTTCTTTCCCTCCCTTCATCCCTCCCTCCGTCCCTCCCTCTGTCCCTCCCTCCCTCCTTTCTCTCTCCCTTTCTCTCTCTCTCTCTCTCTCTCTCTCTCTCTCTCTACAAGGTCATGCTGTGTAGCTTAGGCTGGCGTTGAGCTTGCAGGCTTCCTGCCTCAATTTCCCAAGCGCTGGGATTCCAGCAGGCATGTACCATAATGCCTGTTTCTTCAACCTCTTGACTTTAAAAGTTAGACAGTCAGCTGGGCGTGATTTGCACGCCTTTAAACCCAGCACTCTGTGAGTTCTAGGCCAGCCTGGTCTCCATTAGCAAATCCAGGCCAGCTGCAGCTACAGGGAGACCTTGTCTCAAAAAAGAAAAACAACAACAAAAAAATTAGTACCTGAAGTCCTGTGCTCAATGAATGACACCCACTGAAACCTGGCTGCTGCTGGGGTGGGGGGTGGGGGGAGGGCTGGTAACAAGAGCAACAATAATAATGTATACTTATTACTAATAAAATAGTACTATTTTTACTAGAATGAGTTATAATTACTAATGTTTTTGTTTGTGTTGTCCCCAGCACTGTATTATGTGCCATACGTGTACTGTTTTATTGAGATAAGGTTTGTTTTTTGAGATAAGAGGTCCTGTAATGCAGGCTAGCTTCTAATTTGCTTTATAGCCAAGGATGACCTTGAACTCCTGATCCTCCTGCCTTTACCTCCCAAGTGCTGGGATTATAGGTGTGCTCCACCGTGCCTGGCTCATCCATGTGAGTTTTAGGCCCACCAGTAGCCCTCTGCAGAGGAGACTCATGATCCCCATTTTAGAGATGAGGAAGGTTGAGGTAACAGCACTGGTAGGGTTGACATTTATAGACTCTCCCAGGCCTGGTTTGCAACTACTGCTCCTCCAAAGTTGGCTTGGACCATTTGTGTTTGGATAGTGGAGAGATGACTGGAATCCAGCCTTGCTCACCACAGATAGATGACTTTTGCCTGCACTAGTTACAGACTGGCCTCACCTTTTTCCCCTCAATCCTAGTGAGCCAGAGAGAGGATGAAAACCTGCTTTTCTCGCTTCTTCAGGGACCGTACAACATTACCATGCTAATCAACCCCCCCAAACAAAACTAACTCTGTTTAGTCCTAAATAAGAACAAAAGGACCTTCGGAGTCTGTAGTACAGGACCAGAAAAACCAGGAAATTAAGCTAAGAGTCCAGCTGCCCCATTGGTCTCCTCTGTAGGTCAGTGGGAGCCCACACAGCAGGCAGAGTCCCCGTGGCAGGCAGAGCCCCTTTGGCCCTTGCTTTGCAGTGGGCAAGTCTGGGAGGATGTTCTGAAAGAGTCCTTCAGCATCTTCTAGGGGAAAAACAGCCTCCTAGGAGCTGCCCCAGGCTCCCTCTTTTCTAGTCCTCTTACTTAAGGTTATTTGCATGAGAACAGATTCCTTTGTGCAAAGTTGGCCTGCCTGTTCCCTGTCCACACTTATAGTCCGTCAAGTCTTGGGTTGGGTTGCTAGGCAGATATGACCCTGGCTTGCAAATAAGCTCACCGCATTTACCAGCCTGTGAGAACTTCAACTTGGGTTAAGTAGACTGAAAGGAATCTTCGACTGGAGCGCAGAGGGACGGTCTTTCAAGCCTGCTTCGGGCTGCTGGGTCTTCAGAGCAGCCTGAGAAGAACTGAGTATCTGGGGGTGGGGGGTGCTGTGAGGGGAAGCCCCAATCCCTCATCATTTCCTTCTTCCTCTTCCTGTCTTTTCCACCTACCATCTTCCTACCTAGGGCCCATGTTCTGGTTGAGTGGCTTGTATTACATTACAGTTAATTCTTGCTTTAAAATGATAATATCTGCTGCTCTGCTTGGCAGAAAAGCTCACATCCTGTGCCATCTAGGAATCTTTTCAGTGGACTGATGTCTAGGTAGAGGGACTGTGTGTTTATCTTGTGGTCCTATCTCCAACTTGGTAGTTCATAGGAAGAAGGCAAGCCTGCTTAGACGGGAACAGCTAGTGATGGTGCTACCAAACTGGGGAGTCATAGTTTGTGCCCCAAGAAGCCAAATACAGCCACCTACTCTCAAGAAGCCAACTAAAACAGCCAAATAAATAGTGAAAAGCAGAAAAAGGTAACATTCAATGTGGCACGTGAGAGAGGGACAAAGAGGTCCAGTGACCCCCTCCCGCCCAGTTCCGTATTTGGGATCCTGAAGTGACATTAAAGTTTAAGTTGAAGGCCAGGGATATGCACATCTATACAGACTGGGTCAAGGTGTGATCCTGCCCACCACTGACCCATCATTGTCTGGGCTTCATTCTCTGCCTCTAAGGTCGCCTGACACTGGCAAGTTTGAACCAGAGATCTCCTTCTGGGCGACAAGTTCCCTCTCTGGCTGGTGCCTTTTCCTCCTCCCGGAATGAGACTCCTGGAGTAATTCCCATTTCTCTGGGGTCCATTGTTTCAATAGTCTGATAGTCAGATTGAGAAACAAGTGTCTCTTTTGAATGTCTTCATTTCTGCCAGGCCTGTCACACTGGTGATGACAGTGTTGAAAACGACATGACAGCACCGCCCTGGGGTTGGAGGAGTGGAAGTGTGTAAAGGCCTGCTGCAGTGCTTGGCCCCCTGAGGCTCCCTCCCTAAAAGGTGTAAGGCTGTGGCTCTTGCAGAGTTGAGGAGAATGGAAATCAGTGGACTGTAGAACAAACAGGGAGGATCTTGGGAGGTCTGG